AGTCAGGGCTCAGTAAATATTCATTGAACGAATGAAAGAAAGACTACTCTAACTTTGAGGTTCCACAGAGGCTCTGAGATTCCAAAGCAGCCTCTGCCTGTCAGTTCCCCATGTCCTGCAGACCCTAAGTTCTTTCATCTCTTGATTCCTTCTCCCGCTGACTCATGTTTCTCGTTGCAAGCCTATTGCTATTCTATTTGCAGCTTCCTCCCTTGCTGTGGACCATTTCCCTCCTCTCTCCAGCCCTGTATGCAGGGAGAACTGAGATGGAAGACAAACGTCACATATGTATTTGACTTTGCCAACAGGCCTTCTGAGGGTTATGCCTGAAACGGTGACTTTCTTTTCTTCTCCACCTGCTTTCTTCTCTCTCCATAGCTACCTCCATTCACATTTTCTGTCAGGTTTCTGCTCTTTACCCTTCAGCTTCAATGGGGAATGTAGTCATCTCATCTTTTTCTATTTGAGTTCTGGATTAAGCACAAGGTCCCTCTCTTTCTTTAGCCCTTCTTAACCCCCTTCTCAGATGACTCCATGGGTTTCCAGAATAGATAATGAAAAGAATTAAAGGCACTCTCAAGTGACCTCAGTTTACTACAAAGACATTCAAGGAATCCTTCAGCGTACTTTGTGCAGAAGTGCCAAGTCCCCTCAGTCTGAATGACCAGAGCTATTGCTGGGTCACTGGAATAGTGTTAGTTTGTTTCTTTCAGTTCAGTCAGCTATTCTCAGGCCCTGGCTTCTCTGATTTGACATTGAACTTGGCTTCTGCCTCTCCAGCTTTCCCTCTGTGTGCCTCATGTTTAGTCTCTCCTGGAACCAGGCTCTGATGGGCTTGCTTGGTCACAGTCCAATGAGGAGTTCTCATGCTAGACTTTCTCTAATGCTGCTGGTTGGTCCCATATGTTTGATTTTGGTGACTGGGCCAATTCCTGACTGGGCCGATTCTTTTGTGGCTAGGTTTGGTAACAAGAGCCAAGAGAAACGACTTACGTGTGGTAACTTACGTAGAAAGACTTTCGTGTGGTAACTTACGTAGAAAGAACTCCCTCTGACGACTCAGTGCTGGGGCCATGGGTGCCAAGCACATCGACTCTGTTTTTGGAGATAATAATCATACCTCTTCATTCTCTTCCATTTGCTCCCCTTTCCCACCCCATGAAGATACCTCATTGATGAGAAAGATCATCCAGTTTCACTCTACAACCCACAACACAATTTTAAGTGTGAAATTTTCATTTTTTTCAGGAATCCTTGGGTCTCAGTCATCCTATCTGCTGCAGGAGGCCATAGTATCAGAGTGTTGAGGTCTAGATCCAGGACAACGGCTCATGTCTTAAAGATGAATTACTACTTCTGTTCCCCTGTGAGCAACAGTGTGGGGGCTTACATGCTCCAGGGTGGCAGAATCTAGCAGGCTTTGGACCAGGACTCCAAGGTCTGTATTCTCCAGTAGCTGACTTTGTCATTCCTGTATGAAAATACCCTCTTCTTTCTTTCCATCCCTGCTGCCTAAGCTAGTTACCAGCACACCTTTCCTTACCTCTCTGATCACATGCACTTTGCAGAGACTCCAGGGAACTGAGAGGTGGCAGGAAAGCTATCAGTGGCAGCCGCTTACAACTCACTTCTCTTCTCACACATTATTATAACGGCGTGTGTGTGTGTGCGCGCGTGCATGTGGGAGGTGAAAGGGTGGTGTGATACCTGCCGTGATGAGTTGTGTCTCTCTAGTACCGGTTCCACTGTTGTGTTGGGAAGTCTTTGTCCTGTGCTTGGAAGGTCCAACTGCACATATAGATAGAGTGTTATTCTTGGGGAATACAATTCAGAAGAATGTTTGTATTTTAAGAGTGCATTATCATAGAGTTTCTCTGAGAAACACAATTCATTCATGGTAATATGAAATTATGCAGTAGCAGGCTATCCATATTACATGACTTTCTAAGGACAATTTTTTAAAAAGGACATTGCATGTCTTGTAAATAAAGATTATTCTGTAAGAAGTGAATTTGAATCTCAAATTTTGAAGAGTTCTTAGATTTAATTTTTAAAACAATGTTTAGCTCTTTAATCCTTCTGGCATTTAATGTGCATGGTATGAGAGAAAGAATTTATTTTTTTCCAGATGGATAGCTAATTGTTCCCAAAGTATTGAAGAACTCATTACTTATACCATTAAAATAAATTTTATTGTGTATAGTAAAAAAATTCTCATGCAATCAGTTATTTCTGTATTTTAATCATTATTTGTCCATTTCTGTGTCCATATCATGCTGCTTTGGATACTGTGGCTTTATAGAACATTTGCTATCTTGTTTTTTTTTCTTCAACATTTCTTGGCAATATTCATGTGTTTAGTCTTCCAGAGGAATTTTAGAATCAACTTGTCAAGTTCTAAAATCTTCCCATTGGAATTTTGATGGAAATTGCATTAAATTGACATCATTTTAATATTGAATTATATTGAATGATCTTCTCATCAGGAATATGTTATCTTTTCATTTACTTAGGTCATTTCTATTGTCTTTACATTTCTCTGGTTGTCTTTATATAGATCTCAAATGTTCTAGATACATAGGTTTTTTTTTCCTGTTATGTGAATGCAATGATTTTTCTTTTCTGTTCAGACTTTAATTTTTTGAAAAGGTTTTGTCTTAGTTAAGGTTCTTATGGTAGCAATTTACAGAAACACACCCAAACTTAGGCCAAAAAAAAAAAAAAGTTGAGAGAGAATTCTTTGGAAGGTGGCCAAGGCCTCCACTGTGGGCCAAGGGCAGAAAGGGGAGTGAGTGGTCACAAGGGGGCTGGAAAAAAGAACTGCTTAGTCTCCCGTTGCTGCCTCTTTCAGTAGATCTGTTTTTCCCTCCCTCTGTAGTTTAGCTTTCTTTGCTGCTCTCTTTGTCCCATTTTCACATTTCTGGGAAGCAAGAGGATGTAGAACAAATCTGGCAATAAGGATTACCCATGTGAATGGAGCAATTTTCAGAGAAACTCTGTAGGCTGGGGAGGCACCCTTGAAATAGGTTTCGAAACACTGCAAAGTCAAGAACTTCAAAAGAATCTGCGTCTTCTTGCCTAAGGGGGTTACAATGAACGGTCATACAATATGAGAAAACCCTCCCTCCCTAGTTCTGGATGATTCAATAAACAGGGACTGCCAATCATCATGGTTATAGGATTAATAATTCAACAAAAATATATCGAGCCCCTACTCTTACCCTATATTTGTATATTGCTTTGCTGTTCATGATGTTCTACTTATTCCATTTAACTGCCCTTTAGGCGTTTGGCTCAGATCACACATAGCATACTATAAACACTAAAGCGTGTGGTTTATGGGCATAAACTGCCATTTCAAATGTTTTGTCTTTAGAAAATATGATCTTTCAAAATTTGCAACTTGGAATAAAGATGATTATGAACCTATTCCTACTCCAGTTTATTATTCATTTTGAAAACAAATCAGAAAAGGGGTACTTCATTCCCCCCTCCCCCCTTAAACAAACCATCTCTGAAAAACAGAAATTCTGTTAGAAGTAATTTTTAAAACAACTTAATCTAGTTAGGTTGTATTCAACTGGGAGCCAGCTGAAAGCACAATGGGAACTTGGAATCAAGAAATGTTGGCACTCTTGGTGTAGTCAGTTACTAATTGAATGACCTTCACAAGGAACCCAGCCTCTGTGAACCTGTTTTCTCTTTCAGACCTGGATAATAACTTTTAGATGCCGGTGTTGAGATGAAGCACAGTAAAAACAAAGGGCTATGTATGTGGCGAGCAACACCAATCAACAATGAGAGAACCTGATATTGCTGAAGGAAAAAAAAAATGAGTTTGGAGGAAGAATAAAAGCACCAAAGTAATGTAGGGAGGAGGAAAGAGAACTAAAGTGTTAAATCAAGCTATATTCATAGACTGCAATATGTAGATCAGCTCTGCAGCTAAACCACAAGGAAACCCGCAGAACAAAGGAAGATTTCTGCTGAGATTGCTAACAACCCATTTCCACACACGTAAAGGGGAAACAGGAAAAAGAGCCTTTAATTGACTCCCTAACAAAATAAAATCATTCATTCCCTGTGGCTAAAACCATGGGGATGGGTGGCATGGGTGGCTAGGGATTAAAGGCTGGGAACTGCCAGGAGGCCTTTCATTCTACATATTCTTACCTTTTCATGCTACATACTCCTATCCTTCTTCACTGTATATCAAAGGAAAACTGGTAAACATCTTTAAACTGTAACTTACAGAAACTAAATAATGATATATAAACTGAATTCCTTGAATTCAGGTCCCTCTCAGCGCCTTTACTGTCTCTCTCTGTCGTCATCTCCATTGCCTCTTTCTGAGTCTCTCTTAGGCTCTCTCTGCCTCTGAGAGGGGTCCACCTCTGGTATGGAGCTTTATCCCTTTGGTAATAAACTTTCCTCTGGACTGATTTTGCCATGTGTTTGAATTACTTCTACACTCTCCGCCAAGAACCCTCTTCTCTCTCAGCGCAGGGCTTGAGTCTCCCCCAACTTGGGGAAGTTTGCCCTGTCCTGCATCTAAAGGAACCCCAGAAGAGGCCCCTCCACCAGCCGCAGGTCTCTCACACATATGGAAAAACTCCTTGCCATGGCGGACAAGGGCTCCTTTCATTGGAAAACAAATGTTCGCTTTGGACAGTCTTTTCCTAACAGCAAATTTCATTTCTACAAGATGTGCTTTCCCGCCCAGTCTGCAAACAAGGAGTCAGGTTTTCCTCACTGGCCCTGAGGGGCTGCTGTGGGGCCCAGAAGAGTCCAGGCTGTGAGGGGCCCAGAAAAGGGTGAAGACGATGGAGGCCCAGTTCCGGGATGGGGTCCCGGCCCAAGGCGCTGGGACTGAAGGACCGCCTCCGCCCAAACCAGCGGGCACCTCCCCCCGCCCCCCGCCCCCCCATCAGACACGTTTGCACGACCTAGGGCGTGGTTTCTGGCAGCGGAGGCGTGTCTTCCGGTCGTCCCTTCCGGGGTGGGACTTCCTGTCTATCGTTGACAGGCACCCGGCTGCAGATCTGGTGGGAAGATCGCACAGGAGGGTGAGTCTGGCCGACCAGGCCTTATGTTCCTCGAAAGGGCACCATGGAGGAAGCTCTTCCTCTCTTTCTTGCTTTTGTTATCCCTGAGAGGCCTCTGTTTGCGCCGACGTCCTGGCCTTTTGGCACTACCGTTCACCTGAGGCTCTTCCTCTTCCTCTTTCCACAGGCTCCGCCCCCAGCGTCCCGTGGCCATGACGACCGCCCCTCGGGACTCCTTGTTGTGGAAGCTCGCGGGGCTGCTGCGGGAGTCTGGTGAGTGGACTTCCGGTCGAGGTTGGGGTGCTTTCTGTCTTCCAGAGACTCGTTCCTCTAAGAGTTATGGTATTGCAGCTGTTTAGGGTCCCCTGGGTTTGGGTGTCAGTTTCATTGCGCCTACGGGTTTTGTTCGCTTTGGTGCTGTTGCCTGCCGTGTCCTTTGACAGCTAAGCCTTAGCCATCCTTCGAGGCCAAACTCCAGTGCCACTTCCTCCAAGCGTGCTCTGATACTCTTATCGGAAAGTGATCGTTTACTTGGCTTTAAGCCCCACGAGACCAGGGACTGGTCGTAATCATTATTGTGTGGCGAAGCATAGCATAATTTAAAGCACGATTTGAAGTCAGACCCACCTGGGTTGGAATCCCAACTCTCTTTTAAACGTCGCCAAATTGTTTTTTTCTGGGCCTATTTTTCTCACCAGCAAAATTTATAATGATTGTATTTAACTCAAAGGTGGTTGTGGTGATTAATTCTAATTCACGTAAATCATTTAGTACAGTGTTTACATGTATAGTAAGTGCTGAAAATTGGTAGCTATTATTAATTTCTTGCCTCAGAGTCTGGGCACAGTGGAGCCTTAGTAGTTAAGTACGTGGTTGGTGTTAGCTGTGATAGAAATGCCTTGGCTTTGAGAGCAGACAGAAGTAGTAACTTCCTACCAACTATATGATCTCAATCAAGATTCTTAACTTCTCTGAGCTCCAATTTCTATAGTTGTAAGAGGGGGTTATTAATGCTCTCTAGTTGATTCTAATACAGTTTAAGTGAAGTAACAGACTTGTCTGGCACATATTACCCAATTAATGTTAGCTGCACTCCCATCGATAGTACCTAAAATTTATCTTTATAGCAGTTAAAACTGGTTTGTATTATTAACTGCACATGTCTTATCTCCTCTTCTAGACTGGGAGGCTCTTTGAGGGTGGGAAGAATCACTGAACCATGTCTGTATCTATTCTCAGTGTCTGGTACATAAAAATCCTTCATGCAATGTTATAGGATTTGTTCACTTATTCAGCACAAATCTGACTTGGCTTCAGGGGTTAGGGATGATGGTGTGTGTGTGGTGTGAGTGACTATAAAGAGGCAGCAGGAGGGGGATCTTTGTGGTGATGGAATAGTTTGGTATCTTGATTGTGGTGTTGGTTACAGGAATCTACACATAGGACAAAATGGCGTAACACTATATAGACACATACACACACATTGTATTAATGCTGATTTTCTGCTTTTGCTATTATATATACAAAAGGTAACCATTGGGAGAAACTGGGTGAAAGGTATAGAGAACCTTTTTTGTACTATTGCTGCAACATCTTTTGACTCTATCCTTATTTTTTCAAAAAAGTTAAAAAATATTCTCCATGCCTACCTTGTAGATGCAGTTTTTAGATGCAGTAATGAATAGCTAAAGATGACCTGAAGGATGGCAGTCTCATTGGAGAGAGCAGTTTTAACATAGAGGGCAATAATAATACCTTAGTGCTGTCATGAGTGGTTATTCTTTTCATGACATGCATTTTAGTATTATTTGAAAGTTCTTGTAAGTGTGCATATTACTTTTGCAACGAGAAAAAAATAAAAAGATACAACATCCAGACAACTTTTACATAAAATGAGTGACTGCAGTGAAAAGTTCTGTATTGAGAAAGCTGCCTGGAGGAAGTAGGTGTGGAGCTGCCAGAGTAGAAGAGGGTGTCAGAAAATGAGGGAGCTGTGAACCAAGTTGACCCTATATCCATCACTGTGGGTAGACCAGGCTCTTCTGAACAGAAGAGGAAAGAAAATTAGAGAAGTCTGAGGCGTGTAGTGAAATAATCTTATGTATCGGTAAAGAGTTAGAATTTTTTTTTTTGAAGATAGAGGAGAGCTGTTGAAGACTTTTAAGTGAGGCAGAAATATAGTTTGCTCCTGCAGTGGAGGATCTACAATATAGATTGGAGTGGGTATATCCTGGGGTCACAAAGTCTCAGATTAAAGGGAAAAGCCCTTTCCTCATGTCCTCCTTCCTGTCTGCCCCTCTCCCTGCAGGGGATGTGGTCCTGTCTGGCTGTAGCACACTGAGCCTGCTGACTGCCACACTGCAGCAGCTGAATCACGTATTTGAGCTGTACCTGGGGCCATGGGGCCCTGGCCAGACAGGCTTTGTGGCTCTGCCCTCCCACCCCACCGACTCCCCTGTCATCCTCCAGCTTCAGTTCCTCTTCGATGTGCTGCAGAAAACGCTTTCACTCAAGGTTCTGGGGTGGGAATGGGGTAGGATGTACAAAATGCCCAGAAAAATAGTGGAGGCGGGGCCGGGGGTATAGCATGGGTGCCAGAAATCTGTAGGGCTCAGATCTAGAGGATTTGAGAGCTATGGGTAGCTGTGCTAAGGAAGAGATGCCGAGGAAAAGGAGATGTGCCAGGCCTCACTGACTTGAATGTTTTTTCTTTTAGCTGGTTCATGTCCCCGGCCCTGGCGTCCCAGGGCCCATCAAGATTTTCCCCTTCAAGTCCCTTCGGCAGCTGGAGGTATAGGGCATTGGGAGATATTGGTGCACAAAACCCAGCTTGAGGCAGCCTTTTGTGGATGGAAGAAGAGAATTGGCCTCTTTTGGTGGGGATGTGGGCAGGGGGCAGGCCTGAGAGTGCCATCGCTCTGTAGTGATGCTTCTCATTGAATGCTTCCCTGAACCATAGTTGGCTTTGTCATCTTTTCTTCCCTTCCTTTGCCACAGCTTCGAGGTGTCCCTATCCACTGCCTCAGAGGCCTCCGTGGCATCTATTCTCAGCTGGAGACCCTGATTTGCAGCAGGAGCATCCAGGCGTTAGAGGTAAGGAGGATGGGGTGTGAGCTCAGATGTCTTGTCTTAAGGGATATAGAGGACCAGGCTCTTCCCTGTCTCCTGTCTCCCTGTAGACAGTGTCCTTGCTCCCTCTGCTGTGCTTCCACAGCCCTTTGTACCTGTCCATATATTAATAGTCAACACCTATCATATTGAATTAAATATTCTCCTATCTGCCTCCTTATTCTCCCCACAGTGAACTCCTTGGGGATAGGGTCGTGAGCTTTCTTTAAGTCTTCATCTCTAGATGAAGCTCACTGTATAAAGAATGAATGGATGGCTGGGCCATAGAGTGAGGGGTAGGTGCGGGGAGGAGGGAAGTGTGGAGGTGACTGAGCATCTTGTCTCAGGAACTCCTCTCAGCCTGTGGTGGTGACCTCTGCTCTGCCCTGCCCTGGCTGGCTCTGCTTTCTGCCAACTTCAGCTACAATGCACTGACTGCCTTAGACAGCTCCCTGGTGAGTGCCTCGGAGGGAGGGGTGTTTGCGGAAGGGCAGGGATGGGCCCTTAAGGAGGAGGGACCACTGGTTCCCTAGAGGTGTTCGATCCTTTGCTTCCTCTTCCCACCCTCCCCAGCATCTCTTGTCAGCTCTACATTTCTTGAACCTGAGCCACAATCAACTCCAGGACTGCAAGGGCTTCCTGATGGTGAGTATGAGTGGCCGGCTGGGGCCGGCACTGCTTGGGCCTCTGATCGTTCTGCTCTGGCCCTCTCTCCTGGACCTGCTTTTGTTCCCACCTGCCCTTGGCAGAGCCACATCCTGGGAGGCGGTGCTACTTGAGGCTCAGCATCAGACAAACCAGTGTTCAAATTTGAACTCCTAATCCCTGTGTGACTTGGGACAAATTATTTAACCTCTTGGTTTCTTCACCCTTAACGTAGAAATTATAGGAGTACCCACGTCTATAGTATCAAAATGATTGTGAAGAGTATCTGATGCTAAACTTAGCCCAGTGCCTAGCCCAGAAAAGGGTAGCATTTGATGATGATGAGGAACTCTTCTTTAGTGTCTCCCTGTCAGGGATAAACAAGCTGGACACTGTGAAAGTGGTAAGAACAGATTTTAATAATAGTGAAGTATTGTGGTTTATTAAGTAATAAACTATTGTGATATTTAATCAGTAGTAAGCTATTCAGAGTGAACTGAACTCAAGTTCGATTTATGCAGAGATAACTGGACATATTAAAGGGAGAGCGAAGGGTGGGGAGGGCGACCAGCGAGGGCTTGAGCAGATTCTCTCCTTGACCAAACTCTGGTCAGGATCCTCTGAAGACAGGGAAGTGGAATTTTACAAAAAGCAGGAAGGGGACATCAATCCATGTGAAACCAACCTGTTTAGGTTTGCTAACTGGCACTTGCCAAAGTTAGGCTCCTACTCTGCCACGGAGGCTGGGAGACAGGGGCCCTATCTTCAGATTTAGCTGGAACAAACTCAGTTCTTCTGGCAGTCTTGAGTTTTTCTGGGCAGGAATATAAGGGGGCTGGAGTTGTCATCCTAGGAATTTGGGCTTGAGCTATCAGAAACTGCTAGTATTTTCAAGTCTTTTAATGTCGGGGAGGGTGGGGCGGATGAGATCGTTTGTGCTGAGTCTGCAGCCTTTGTAGGCCATGGTTGAGGCATAGTTGAGAAGAAGGCTCGGAGGAGCCTGGCAAGAGTTTAGTCAGGGAGACTCTGTCACCCCCTCCCCTGCCCCGCCCCTTCCCAGGACCTGTCTGAGCTCTGCCATCTGGACATTTCCTATAATCGCTTGCGTTTGGTACCGCGAATGGGACCCTCAGGGTCTGCTCTGGGGACCCTGATACTGCGAGGCAATGAGCTCCGTAGCTTGCATGGTGAGTGGGGGGTGTGGTGGAGTGGCGGCGGGGAGGAGGAAGGGCGGGGCAGACACTGGTGGGAGACTCAGGATGGCAGGGTGCCCCTGGGACCTTGTGCCTTCTTTTCACTGCACCCTCCCCCAGCATGCTCCCCACGCCCTCGACCCTACCCCTCTCATCCCCTTGACCCCATCTCTCTCTCACTTGCCCTTCCTCCCTCCTCGCCTCTGCCCCAGGCCTGGAGCAGCTGCGGCACCTGCGGCACCTGGACTTGGCATACAACCTGCTGGAAGAACACAGGGAGCTGTCGCCCATGCGGCTGCTGGCCGAGCTGCGCAAGGTGAGATTCGGGCGCCTCAAAGGCCTGGGAGCCAGCTTTGCGCCCCTCCCTCCTTCCCATGCCCGTGTGGTCAATGCCCTTCCCGCCACAGGGAGGCCGAGGGTCCATCTCATTGTCCTTCCTGCCCCTCAGCTCTACCTGGAGGGGAACCCTTTGTGGTTCCACCCGGCGCACCGAGCGGCCACCGCCCAGTACTTGTCACCCCGAGCCAGGGATGCTACTCCCAGCGTGAGTGACCTTCCTGTGTCTGCTCTCCTTCCCTTTCTGCCCAGACCTACCCCGACTCTGCATGTCTTGCCTCTCCCCACCCCCTCCTGAGTGAGGGGCGTCCAGTGAGCCTGGGGGTCCTTACAGGCCTGGAAGGGCTCCCACCTGGCTTGGGGCGCCCCCAGAGCCTGCGCTCCACCACCAACACTTTCCTCTTTGCTCTTTCCTCTTTGCTCAGTTCCTTCTTGATGGCGAGGTCTTGTCACTGGCTGATTTTCAGGTTAGTGCGGTGGGGCGTGATGGGAGTGATGGGAGTGAGCCGGCAAAGACTGACTCGGGAGGGTGCGAAGGGAGGGCGCCGGCTGCAGGAAACAGTTTCCAGGGTGAGGGGCTTCCTGGTCAGATGGAGAGTGGATCCTGTCTCCCAGGCAGCTCGGGCTGGGCAGAGGTGCTCCCCTGGCTCTGAGCTCTTTCTCCTTCCTGTTGTCACACACAGACCTCCACATCCTCAGAGGCCCCACCTCTGTCCTGGCCGGTGGGGAGTACCACTGAAACCTCAGGTGGTGCTGACTTGAGTGACAGCCTCTCCTCAGGGGGCGTTGTGGCCCAGCCCCCACCTCGTAAGGTTAAGGTACATGATGTCCTAGGCTGCCTCCTGACCGGGGGTGGGTCCCTTTACCTGGCTGGGCTCTGGGTTGTTGATGGACTGAGAATAGTAAGGCGTTATCCTTGCTTGTGGGCGGGGTGGCTTTTGGTAGGTTGGGTGAGTGGCTGCAGATGGCAGGGTGGGAGGCCCGAATGTCACCCCTCTACCCAATCTCAGAGCCGAGTTCGTGTGAGGCGGGCAAGTATCTCGGAACCCAGCGATACGGACCTAGAGCCCCGGACTCTGGACCCCTCCCCAGCTGGTAAGTCAGCCCTACTCCCCAGCCTCCCTCGCCCCAGCCCAGTGTTCCCAGTTAGATGGAATTTTAGTTTTGGTGGAGTGCAGCGTTATAGAGGGCCTCTTAGCCTTTCCTGTTTCTTCTTAGTTTGGGGAGAATGCTGCTCCTGGGCACCGTTTTTAAAGTGTTTTACAGGGATGTTAATTTTAAGGGATGTCAAAAGGATTCTGTGGCCAGCTACGTTTGGGAGATGCTAGGTTAAACAAATAGGTGTCTTTTCTCCAAGACATCGCAGGACCTTAAACGTGCTCCCGTGTACTGTGAATCTCACTAAGCAGCATGTGAATTGCATGTGACCACAGTGTTCTGTAGAACACACTTAGGGACGTGCTGCTGAGGAGAAGCCTTTAGCCTACTGCCTCTGATCTCCCCCACGTCAGTATACACACTTTTACTTCCCCCCTGAGGAGCACTCAGAGGAGAGGCTAGGGTTGTTGGGGTGGGGGAGTGGTGGGGGCACAGGCTGGCTAAGCTGTTCCTGCCCCACCTGTCCAGGAAGGTTTGTGCAGCAGCATCGGGAACTTGAACTCATGAACAGCTTCCGGGAACAGTTTGGCTGTGATTGGCTGCAGTATAGGAATCACCTGGAGACCTCTGGGACTTCTGTTGTGGCTAACTCCAAGACCCCTGCCCTCAGCACACTGTCCCCAGACACCCTGAGCCCAGAGACTGTGCCCAGCCCTCCCACTGGCCCTCTGCCCTCAGAAATGAAGTCAGTACAGGAAGTGGCAGAGGTCAGGGTGGGGCCAGAGCCACAGGAGGAAGAGGAGATGGAAGGGGAAGGAAAGGAGGAAGAGGAGGAGCAGGAGCAGAATGAAGTGGAAGGTGAGTGCTCGGTTGCAGTGCCTGCAGTGTGTTTGGGACAGTTAGGAAAACCCAGGTGCGGGGTGGCTGACCCCTTTGTGGGTGGAGGGCCGCCCCATGGGATGGCAGAGTCTTGGCATCTTTCCTTCCTTATAGGGCCCCTTTCTTGGTCTCTCTTCAGCGGAGCTCTGTCGCCCCATATTGGTGTGTCCCCTGGAGGGACCTCAGGGCGTGCGGGGCAGGCAGCGCTTTCTCCGGGTCACTTCTGGCCACCTCTTTGAGGTGGAGCTCCAGGCAGCTCGAACCCTGGAAAGGCTTGAGCTCCAGAGTCTGGAGGCAGCTGAGATAGAGTCCGAGACCCAAACCCAGAGGGAACCGGCGCCTGAGGTGAGTGTGGGAGTGGGGGTTCTAGAAGAGATGCTGGGCTTTTCTCAGGAGCCGGCAGCTCTGGGCAGTCTTGGGTCTCCATGGTTTCTCATTTGTGCCGAGGAGGGAGCTGGGGGTGCACAGTCATCCCCAGGCTCCTTGGGAGGCCCGCCTGGGAATAGAGCTTCTGGGCTGGAGCGTGGATGTTGGTAAAGGCTTTTTAATGGAGTCCAGAGCTGTTGTTTTCCTCTGTGTTCTCGGTATAACCCTAATCCCTCTGCTTGGATTTTCTGGTCCCCTCTGCCCTCACAGGACTCTGAGCTGCCCTCTGGGGCCCCCGTCCTTGCTCTGCGCTTCTCTTACATTTGCCCGGACCGGCACTTGCGTCGCTATGTGGTGCTGGAGCCTGATGCCCACGCAGCTGTCCAGGTGATAGGGCCCAGGAGGCTGGTGGGGGATCAGAAGGCTGGGGGCTGCGCTCTGCCTGTTCATGGCTGCATCCGGCTCACCCTGTTTCAGGAGCTGCTTGCTGTGTTGACCCCAGCAGTCACTGAGGCTCAGCATCAGCTTGAAGAAGCGAGGGACCCACTGGGGGACAGACTCCAGTGTCTACGTTGTGGTCATGAGTTCAAGCCAGGGGACAGCAGGTTGAGACTGGACAGCGAGGAAAGCTGGAGGCCTCTGTTCCAAAATACAGGTGCAAGCCCTGCCCTTGACCTCCTTGCCTGCGTTCTTCCTGCCATTTCAGGGAAAATGGCTTCGAGGGAGGGAGTACGGAGGGCAGCCCCAGGGAACAAAGGAGTAGGGACCAACTTCTTGCCTAGAGGAAAAATAAAACCGTCTGCTTGCTACACTTACAAAAAAAGTAAAAGAAGAAGAAATTATATCCTTTTTCTTTTTTCCCTCTAAAAGTCAGGAAATACAATCTGTAACTGTTTGAACGTACTCATTATTTTTTCATAACTTGAAGGCTTTCTCCCCTTTTTTGGCTAATGTTTCAGAAACTGCATAAAACCGAATGAGCCCTCAGTGTGCTATCGGGTTGTAGTCCCGCCTCCGTCCGATGCTGTGAAAGTTGGCTTAGGTTGCCATTCCCAACTGACCTTGCAAGCTGCTCGATACTGAGTCTTGCCTTGTGGCATTTTTTCACATTCTGCACTTTAAGAAGAGAGATTTTTCCATTGTAGACCAGTCAAAAAGCTATGTCTTTAAAGACATTGAAGAAGAAATATTTTTGATAATTCCGTATTCAATAGCTGTGTTGAAATGCATGCTTTTCATTAGTCACTTTCTTCTTGGCCACAGATGGAGCAGGGGTTTAAATTACATTCAGCAAAAGACTCCTCTCCGTGCCCCCACCCTGAACCTGCTCAGCTGGCGGCGGGTCCCAGAGGCCCAGGGCGGCGTGTGCAGTTGAAATCGCCCCACCTCCTCCTGGACTCTATACTCTGTGGGGTCACGTAGGCCCTGGTATTCTTTGAATGGTGGCATCATTTATGAACATTCCTGTGTGCTCCATTCACCTTTTATTTGAGCCTGGTTCCCTCATGTGAACCAAAATGAGAATGACTTGCCCCATGGTGCTGGTAGATCGAAATGTGACAGAAAGGCATCAGGCACAGTGCTGGGCTCAAAACAGAGATCCTCATTATCATTAGTGCTTGCTGTGCCGCTGCCCCCAGCTATAGGGTCTGGGGAAGGACACGTCAGTTACTTGATCTTTGCTTTCTTCGATCGTAGAATGGGATAGGGAGAGTGGTGATACTACTCTCAGTTGTCTAGCACATGCCCAGCACGCTGTAGCTGCCCAAAGAGTCGTTCTCCTGTTGCTGATCTCTGTCCTGGATTCTTTACCTGGCTCTGTTCACTCGTCCTGATGACCGTATAAATAGACGCTGTCATCATCCCCATTTTACTGATGAGGAGCCAGGCACAGAGAGCTTAGGCGACTTGTCTTCATGGCTTCGATGACAGTCTTTAAGGGATGCAGCTGGAATTGGACCCATGTCTGGCACCCTGCTTTCCCAGTCTGTTGATTTGGGACGTTGCCGGTAGAGCGTCACAGTACACGGTCAGCCCCAGGCTGTGCACGGGGACCAGAGCAGGGCCTGGCTGAGTTTGGCCCTTTTTGAGAGAGCCCGAAATGAGAAGGTGGAATGTATTTCGAAGATGTCGTGGGCCATGGGTCTGGGTTTGCTAATGGCTCATTGGGATGGGGAGGCTGGTAGACTGGGAACGGGGGGTAGTGTATGAAGCTGGAGATGTGGGTCCAGGTGAGTCTGGGAGTAGGTGGGGAGCATTGCAAGCAAGGTGGTGGGTTGTGGCACTGTGCGTGCAGTTCACGGGGACTGCGCCCATCCCTTCCTCCAGAATCACCTGCTGTGTGTCCAAACTGTGGCAGTGACCATGTAGTTCTCCTGGCTCTGTCTGCGGGAGTCCTCAACAGGGAGCAGAGACAGGAGGAGCAGCTGCCAGCTCCCTCACCGGCCCCCAGCACTGTCTGTGATCCTCCTGGCCACAGTGACCACAGCAACAGGGCTGACAGTGCCCCATCTCAGGCACTGGTCTCCCATGACGGCCACAGGTGGAGCCTCAGTCCCCGTGAGTATAGGCAAAACGAGACGGGGCTGGTGTTTGGGGGAGGAAAGGGGCACTAATGGGGCAAGTGAGGTGGAGCTGTGGCAGCCAAGGCAGGCCGATGGCCCATTTGCTTGTCCCTAGCCCCTGAACGCTGTGGCCTCCGCTCTGTGGACCACCGACTCCGGCTCTTCCTAGATGTTGAGGTGTTTGCCGATGCCCAAGAGGAGTTCCAGTGCTGCATCAAGGTCGGTGCCAGCCAGGCACTGTCCCGTGTCCCTAACTGACCAGGGTACCTGCTTGTTTCCACCACAGCAGATTGAGTCAGAGCGGTCACTCTGGAACCACCACGTCTGGCTTCCAGTTTCAACTCCTTGTTCCGTGATGTTTTGAGTCTCAGTTGTCACTCTACAACGGGATGATACCTACCTTGCACAGTGTAGTAGCATCAGTGAGAGGTCATGTCTGTAAGCTGCCTACCACAGCACCAGGCACTCAATAAATGGGACCTCCTGTCATTAATATAAATACATGATGTTATTGGACCTTCTCTGTTGAGCACCTAGCATATGCTAGACACTAAGGATCTAGAGTACATCAACCTTGCCTTCCATCTAATATTTTGGTGGAGAAAAAGACAATAATCATGTGATACAAAAGTTCTGGAATCAGGCTAAGGCCCTAGAGGGACATCTGATCCAGACTGAGTGGGCCAGGGAAGCTGCCCCTTCCTGGGGAGGTGACGGCTAAGCTAGGTCCTGAAGGGTGAGTTATGGAGGAGAGAGAAAAAAGATGTTCCAGGGAAATGAAGCAGCACATGCTTGGAGCCCTGAGAGAGTAGCTGGAGGGGAGAACTGCCTGTGACGGGGGCAGCCAGAATGTGGGGGAGTGTCCCAAGAGGAGTCTGAACAGGCAGGCAGGGGCCAGTTCAGGAGCGACCTCGTGTGTCTGCCGAGGAGTTTGGACTTGATCCCAAGGGCTGCAGGAGCCACCGAAGGATTGGAAGTGGGGGAGTAGCAATCGGTTTTGTGTTTTGAACAGTCAGTCTGGCAGAGTGTGGAGGGTGGATTGGAGAGGACGAGATGACCGGCAGGGAGACCTGCGCAGAGCCTGCTGCAGTCTGTGTGCAGCGGGGACTGTGGGGCAGAGAGCATGGCCGATGAACAAGCCGGGGTGGATGAGCAGTGGGCAGGGCCGGGCCAAAGGTGTCGCAGTAACTCGGCTGTAGGTCCGGCAGCTGTCTCCCTAGACCTTTCTGTCTCTCATCAACTTCCTCTTTCTCGTAGGTGCCACTTTTGTTGGCAGGCCACCCTGGAGAGTGTCTGTGTCTTGTGGTAGTTTCTGACCACAGGCTCTATGTGTTGAAGGTGACAGGGGAGATCTGGTGAGTGAGTAGGGCCATCGCCAGGGCAGGGTCAGGGTTCCTTTGTGGCTCTCATGCCACTCTCATTCTTTGCCGCCACTCTGTCCTCCCTTTCTCCACAGCGGGCCTCCAGCTAGCTGGCTGCAGCCAGCCCTGGCTGTTCCCTTGCAGGATCTGAGTTGCATAGAGCTGGGCCTGGCAGGACAGAGCCTGCGGCTGGAGTGGGCAGCTGGGGCGGGCAGCTGTGTCCTGCTGCCCCGAGATGCCAAGCGTTGCCGGGCCTTCCTAGATGAGCTCACTGGTGAGAGGGAGCGGGGAGGCAGGAAGGGCGGGCCGGTGGGGGTTACAGCTCCCAGATCTGGTGCCTGCAGTAGAGACAGACAGGTAATGGAACTCAGCCCTCAGAGAAGTGTCTGGAATCTAGAAATATGGAGAATGGGAAGGTGTTGAGAGGTGGAGAGGTTGCGACAGAAGAGGTGGCGTCATGGGGGCTCCCTGTCTCTGGCTGGCTCCGTCCAGATGTTTTGCAGTCTCTGCCCCCAACCTGGAGGAGCAATGTCAGTGCCACGGAGGAAGAGGTGACCCCAAAGCACCGACTCTGGTGAGTCAACCGGAGGCTGAGGCTGGGGTTGGTGCCCAGATGGCCACTCTTGGAGCTCAGGCTCTCTCTCCACGAGCCCCAGCCTTAGTCACGCCCTTAGCATCTGGGCCAGCCACCTGTCCTCAGGCCCACAGGCCTGGTCCTTCCTCCCCGCCCTCCCTACTGAAGGTGATTCCCACCCCTAGCTGACCACCCCCTCCCGGGGCTGCTGCCTTCCGCCCTCCCAGGCCACTGCTGGAAAGAGACTCTTCTTTGGAGCCTCCCCGGTTCTTCTACCTTCGGGTGTTCCTGGTTGAAGGTGAGGCCTCTGGACCCCCATCTTGTCCCAGGGCACTGGCCTGGCCATCAGCATGCCCTGGTAGCAATTCTCATTCCTGGTTTGGACTTCCCGTCACTCATGGGCATACCCAGAAGACCCCCTCCCTGCCTCTCTAGGTGGGCTGGGAGGTACCTGGGCCTTAGGTGCCCAGAGACCCAGGCTTTCTGTGAAGTGGAGCAGATTGGCTGGGTCTGCTCCACCCGATCCTGTTGGGGAAGGTGAGAGTGGATCCTCTTTCTGAGTGGGGTGGCGGGGGGCAGCTTTCCTTTGTCTTGGGCCTCAGGTTTTGGAGGCTAGAAATCCCTGGACTTTGGAAAAGGGAGGGCCTTGGTCCCCAGAGGCGCAGGCTGCCTTGCGGCCTCCTCAGTGTGATTCGCTCCTCTTCTCCCCAGCGGCATGGGGATGCTGCCCCAGGGGTCTGGGCTCCTCCGTGGCCTTCCACACTGGGCCTTGCCTT